TCTATAATTTCCTCTCTGTTGGTGAGAATTAAGTCCAATATGGCTGATCCCCTTGTTCCCTTCTCTACTTTTTGGGGAAACAAAGTTGTCCAGAACCTGTTGGATCTTCTGCTTGGTGCAGTTTGTTTCCCAGTTGATGTCAGAGTAGTTAAAATCCCCCACAACTATTGTGGCGTGCTTCGTACAGACCTTAGTTAGCTGACTAGCAAAAAGTTCATCTACTTCCTCTGCTTGGTTGGGTGGCCTGTAGTATAGACTTATGGCAATGTCATCCCCCCCCCCTTTAATATTGACCCAAATGCATTCAAGATAGTTCTCATCATTGTTGTGCTCTATTTCTGTAGAGAGGTAATTATTTCTTATATATAGTGCAAATCTGTTTGTGTGGTCCAGCCATCTTGATGAAACATAATCAATTTATTTACTACTTATTTTAAATAATGCTGGATAACATTGTCCTTTTTATCTCTATTCTCATTTTTGTCAGGATTTCCCATGTGTGCCACAGCAAAGCAGACTTTTGGCACCTTCGCACATGAAGTGTCTTTGCTGGGCATTTATAGGCCTTCTCACCACTGAGAAAGAAAGGGAATGAGTTGTATTTTCTAACCTTACCTGTGTCCTTATGTGGGACACAGTGCCTCAGTGGCTAACACGCTGAGTTTGTCAATCAGAAAGTTCGGCGGTTCAGCAGTTTGAATCCCCATTACTTGTCCCAGCTTCTGCCAACCTAGTAATTCGAAAGGACGTAAAAAACGCAAGGACAAAAATAGAGACCACCTTGGTGGAAAGGGAACAGTGTTCCATGCACCTTCGGCATTTAGTCATGCCGGCCACATGACCACGGAGACATCTTCGGACAGCGCTGGCTCTTCGGCTTTAAAACAGATATGAGCACTGCCCCCTAGAGTCAGGAACGACTAGCACGTGTGCAAGGGGAATTTTTACCTTTATGCTCCTTATGGTTTTCTTACTAATGCAAGATATTACTTGCATTACATAATGAGAAACAAAGTGGAAAGGCAGATTATAATTACATTAAGCAAATAAACAAACTGTGAAATCATAACAAGGGACTGAGGATTGATTGAATATCTGCCTGTGACTCTGCTCTAGTGGAAACATTCATCACAGGGAATATTCCTAGGAATCTGCACTTCTTCAGTACTTCTTCAGTACACCATTAAGATGGCAATCAATGCCCTTTATTTCCATTCATCCTGATTTTTTGCCTTGAAATGTACTTAGTAAAAATCACAACTAGGATTGTAGTGTCATCTTACCTGTGTTGGACTGGAAAGACAAAATGTTCTCACATATTTGTATAGGTCTAGTATTTATATGGAGTATTACTCAAGTGGACTCTTTCATGACATTTTAGATTACTATTCCTGTTGAAACTCTTCCCACACTCTTTGCATTGGTATGGCTTCTCTCCTGTGTGGATCTTTTTATGGTAAGTCAGAAGACTACTCCTTCTAAAGCTCTTTCCACACTCCACACATAGATATGGCTTCTCCCCTGTGTGGATCCGTTTATGGGCAGTAAGGTAGCTGTTGGTACTAAAATTCTTCCCACATTCCATGCATTTATATGGCTTCTCCCCTGTGTGGATTCTTTTATGGGAAGAAAGATGACTGCTCCAAGCAAAGGTTTTTCCGCACTCCATGCATTTATAGGGTCTTTCTCCCCTGTGGTTACTTTGATGGCCCCTGAGGGAATAATTATCAGGGAAAATCTTTCCACACTCCAAGCAGGTATGTGGTTTCTCTTCTGAATGGGTCATTTCATGGGAAATGAGGTGATCGGATAGAGAAAAGCCCTTTCCACAGTCCATGCACTTATATGGTTTCTCCACTATGTGGATCCTTTCATGTTCCATAAGGGACGTATTTTCACAGAAACCCATTCCACATTCTCTGCATTTATATGTCTTCCCATCTTTGTGAATTCTTTTATGGGAAGTAAGATTACTGCTTTGAGTAAACGTCTTTCCACACTCCGTGCATTTATATGGTTTCTCCCCTGTGTGGATGAATTTATGAGAAGTAAGATTACCACTTTGAGTAAAAGTCTTTCCACACTCCATGCATTTATAGGGCCTTTCTCCATTGTGATTCCTCTGGTGGCTTCTAAGAGAGCAATTATCACGGAAGGCCTTTCCACACTCGATACAAGTATATGGTTTCTCTTTTGAATGTGTCATTTTGTGGGAAATTAGGTGACTGGATTTAGAAAAGTTCTTGCCACACTCCAGGCATTTATAGGGTCTTTCTTCTGTATGGATCTTTCTATGGTAAGTAAGTCGACTGATCCAAGAAAAGCTTTTTTTAATTCCATTTTGTGATCGGTTTCTCTCATCACTTTTTGGTTTCAGCTGATCGGCAAACTTCCCTTTTTCCTCTTTTGGCTGGATTGTTTGGCATTGTTCTTTGTAGTTCTTATCCTCCTGGACATTATTTTCTTCAAAAAGAAATATAAGAAATTTAACAAGATTAGGAACATATTTAAAGATCAACTTTTTCCTGAAATTTTGCCAAAGAATCATCAATTTTGGGTGTTTTGCTCGCTGATATGAAAGAATCTGATCTAAGCTTCTACGAAAGATGAATTTCTAAGTGGGCTTCATATATACACATCAAGTCAGATTACAATTTCCCTCAGAGAAAACTCTGATCTAATCTTTGACAATCAATATGTGCAAGGCCCTTGATGACATGGGTCAGTTCCATGTTGCCATGAAATCCTGTGCTGCATGATATGCTCTACCACATTAAATCCTCAATAACTATATAACTTTGATTCTGGACCAAAGACAAGATTTCAGAAGGATGAAAGAAACAATGTCATCTACAAAATCAACTGCAACCATTGCAACTCTACGTGGGACAAACATCACATCAATTAAAAACCAGGATCTATGAACACCAGCTGGCATTCAAATGCCACAATCCCAAATCCTTAATCTCTACCCACACTAACACCAAACAGCACCAAAATAATTGGAGCAACAGAAAAATAATCTGCCACGCTCATGAGTTCATGGAAGTCTGGCACTCCACAAGCAATTCCATCAACAGAAACATTGACCTACCGCAGCCTATGAACCCCTCAAAATCCAATCAACCACACAACCACCCAGAGACAGCACTGTCCCTCAGCCAAACCATGCAAGCCCCCCACCAGCTCACCTCTCAATGACGCTTGCCTGATGTAATCTCCCCAAGACCCATCCCAAGACTCTCACTGACGACTTACATCTGGCCCATTACAAGACCTTCACTTGACACATCCATACCCGAAGGCCTTATAAACAGAAGAACACTGACACTGACACCTCCTAAACTCCGCTGTTATCTAGCCTGGTAACAAAATGTTCAGAAACCAACCCACAAGCTCGGAGAATGAACCTTCAACCTCATCCTACACCTTAGCTATAGATATTCACCACTATTGCAAAATCATACACATCTAAGGAGACATCTATTAATTTCCTTCAATAAAATAGGGTTAGTTTTATCAGAGTAGCTGGTTACATCTAACCTCTAAATGTAGTTTCTGACCACAGACAGGTTCTTACCTAGAGAAGCCAAATTCCTGGAATTCTCCAGCATGACCTCCCCATGGAGAGCTTTTTGATCATGATCCAGCTGAGACCACTCCTCCTCAGAGAAATACACAGCCACTTCCTCAAAAGACACAAGATCCTAAACAAGGAAACAAATTTCCCCATTAACAGACAACACCCAAAAAAATTTGAGACTTCTCTTACATCAATTCCAGGAGAGATTTGTAATGAATGAAATGGGCAACTGCTACAGAATACAAAAAAAACAAACAATTGCACAACTTTTAGCTGATGGCATAGCGTGAAGGATATTTTATCAGGTTTAAATCCAGGACTTTAAATGGCTTTCAGTGTAGCCAACTAAGCAGTATCTATAAGGGAGAAGGAAATACTGGAGAAACCTATCTGACGTTTTGGCCAATCACCTGCTTTATCTACTTAGGGACCATCATGCTCAGCACTCTGCACCACAGTAAAAGTATTAGGAGAGCTTGTAACGATATACGGAATTGATCCTGGAAGATGACCCTTAGCTGAGACAATGGTCTGCTCAAATGAAATTTTAATTTCAGAAGGCATTCCTCCCCAAGATGGCTGCTGAACGGTAAGAGACTTTTTCTCTCTTGCCAATGATTTGCTGATTTTGCTGCAAAACCTGGTATTGGCTGTGCTGCTCTCTGGATTTGAATGGGAGCACCTAGTAATGCCACAAGGCAGCTTTTGGACAGTAATGGACCTATTTAGCTAGAATGCATTAAAGTTGCAGGAACCTTGACTTGGACTTGGACTTAATCTTCGTAAATGTCAACGTCCATAAGGCAGTGACCGTTGCATTGTGAAGGCCAGGGGCAGGACGTCACGGATTACAGCACACCATTGATTCCGATTTAGGGCGGCTTGTTGGGCATTGGTTATCGAGAAATGGAGTGGTTGAAGATCGTGAGCCACTTGGGATATCCA